GCAAATGATAGATTACAACCTCTCAGACAAACACCACCTAAAATTATGTTGAATGTATTCAGTTTACCTAAAGAATTCTTGTTATTTTACAGGGGCCAGTCCCGGCTGTTTGAGGGCCCTGTCTATGAAGTTTAAGACAACACATGTTCCCCCCGGGGACACCCTGGTTCACCGTGGCGACGTACTGACGGCTCTCTACTTCGTGTCCAGGGGCTCCATAGAAATCCTCAGGGATGACATCGTTGTTGCTATTTTAGGTAACACTTGCACTTGGAGACTTAATTGCTTAATTAGCTTATACTTTCATCCTTGCTTTTAAACTGTGAATGTTACAGTGCATGAGCATTTTTAGAAAATTTCAGATTTCTAAATTGTTTCAGACCCATGAGTTATTTCTAAAACGCTCTTGCATAATCTTCTTCAGAAAGTTTTGAAATTATGTCAAACTCTGATCATCAGTAATGTGATAGTATAATTTTGCTTGACCAAAGGCATTGATCCCAATAAAAATGATCTACTTGATTAATATATTAATTAAAACACTTAGCTATTCCTGTATAAATTTAAAATGAAAACCCTGTTGTTGTAGGTAAAGATGACATATTTGGTGAGAACCTCTGTCGTTACGAGACGGTCGGTAAGTCCAGCTGTAATGTCCGAGCTTTGACCTACTGTGACCTTCATAAGATTCACCGTGACGACCTACTAGAAATCCTGGACATGTACCCAGAATTCACCGAACACTTCGTCAGGAATCTAGAAGTCACCTTTGACCTCCGTGATGTAAGTATCAGTGGTCAGATTTTATTTTGTTACCTCCCCTAGATCTGGCCTGGGGGCCATAAAACTTAGACGAGCTCACTTTTGATCTCAGTCTCACTTTTCCACTGTACATTCCTTAGCAAAAAGTGATACTGAGATCAAAAGTGAGCTCATCTAAGTTTTATGGCCCCCAGGCCTGAAGCTTATGTAGAAATAGGCTTTTAAGTGTGAACATGAACATGCCAAGGCTTACCTGTGACTATAAGAAGAAACTACAGTTGAACTTCAGTATCTTGAACTCTGATATCTTGAATACCATGGAAATGTCAAAGCGATGTGAAAGTTCCAATCACATATTCTTTAAGTATTTTACCTTTGATATTTCGAATCCTTGGATATCTTGCAAGTTTTTTCTCAGCCCCATCAGCTTTGAAATAACTAAGTTTGACTGCCATTATTTCCATAGTTAACATTGGCAAATATTAACAGCACATCATTTGATATGTTTGAAAGTGTGCTTTCTGAATTACATACAAAGTGATGTTTTTTTTTTGACTAGTCTAGAATATATTTTTTAAGATCAGCATTGTATATCTGAATATTTTTTTGTAAGGTTGATTTGGATCAATGGCGAGAGGAAACTGACATGGGAAGGGGGAATGCACTGAGAAGGAGGAAAAATATACGATCTTACCACTCTGATACGGGGAGTGCAGGTAATAAATACAGGGTCCTTCATAGTTATGTTAAAATAATTTTCTGCCACTTAATCCTCAAAAAAAGATTAGCAATATGAAATTAGTCAATGAATTTTAAATCAAATTTTATGTCATTGTTCATGAAGTGGTGATTTAAAATAAAATATTATCTACATTCATGTAGTTTAAAAATATGACCCATTTCCTGACAGGTCAAGACGACGTTTCACACGAATATAAATTCCAACCATCGAGATCGCGGCGTCTTCGTCGTGATAAACTCAGTGAAGACGGGCCGACAGTCTCCATGTCCTTTGAGGATTCTTCTGATGAGGAGATCCGAGAAAGTGGGGCAGGGATCCTGGAATTTTCCCCAGCCAAGGCGGGGATGGATGTCACACCTGCGACATTTTCCGAGTTTAATAGGAAAGAGGACAGGAAACAGACTTCTGGTTTCTCCTCTATCGCAGGTCAGTTTCTGTTATATTCTCGTTTACAATTATAGGATATTTTGTGTTTAACCTTTGTAAAGGTGTTCAAATGCACTTACAGTCGGATTTTGTTATTATGGACATACAGTACAGTCAACGCGGTTTATGCATTTACCGCGCACCCCCGCGGTGCGAATTTCATCGCGGTTAGTACAGGTGTCTCAGGTAAAAACCGCGTGCCCCCGCGGTTCAGTAATCCAGGTAGATCACACCGTCGCCGTGCATCTTACCGATTACAGGTGAAAAAACAGTCTTGATTTAAAACGCGAGTTACCTCCCTTTGAAAATATCAAGCAAAACAAAATAAAACGAAATTAATGATATTTTAAAATTCATAGTCGTTGAAATATTTGAAGTGCAAAAGGAAAATTAATTTTTCTAAAAAAAATATACTCTCATGTATCTAAATAATTATAACAATCGTCAAAGCAATTTTCAAATAGCGTTTACTAATTCTTGAATTTCTTTTTTAAAATGCGTTCATTCTATTTAGATCCAGGACTTTCGATATAAATTACTGTATGTGATATATTTATACGACAATGCAAGATAAAACACCCAGTGTGCTATTCATGATATTCAATATTAATAAATATTTTCGTTGCGTGTTTTTTTTTTTATTTTAATAGTGGATTGATTAAAGAAACGATCTATCGCAGCGTCACTTTCAGTGGGACTATAAGTGAAAGTATTTTAAAATTATTAATCTTCAAATATAGGATTATAATACGCAGAAGATTTTTATGTAATCAGCATTCTCCGAGTCGTCTGTAAAGTGTCATTCCTTTATTCTGGGGCATTGTTCTTGAAATCAGTAGGGTGTGTATGTGTGTGTGATTCGATGGCCTACCAATCCGTAGAAGATAAAATAAAATTACATAATGTCTAGAGCTAGACCTGGTACACATACCTGGTCCACAGAGCTGTACACTGGACAAGGTGCGATCCCCTGCACCAGCCCTACCCCTGGTGTACACGTGCGTGCCCGAAAGCGGGTCAGTAAATTTCAACTGTCGTACATGTTTAACATACTTCACAATGACATTTACATTGATCATATAATTTAATACAAATTTGAATTAATTATTTAAATTTACGATATGCAGATTACCATGATTACTTTCGTGTAAAAAGTTAATTTTGATGTAACATTCATCCCCCCTCCCCCCTTATTTACTTGGACTCTATTAATGTGTCTTACACAAAACTCAGCACAATCATAACTTTGGATGGGGGTTATTTTCCCAATATAAGTAGATAGAAGCTAAGTTGATTTAGATAAATTGTATTCATGTATGAAAATTCAACCAAAACAGTGAAAAAAAAAGTTATTACTGCAAAATTCTATTCGGAATAATTACAAGCGCGTTAACAAAAATTTACTGAAAAAGAAATTCATAAACACCACAAACAATATCGGAACAACATTTTATGTGCATTTTGCATTGGTAAGTATTTTTTTGTCCTTGTTAGATCTAGTACATGTATACACAGTGTACATGTAGCTGCACGGACTAATCGTAGTCTCCTTAGTAACTGGTGGATTCCTGTGTATTGTGCGCGTTCAAGCAGAGAGGGATTTCCTGTCTCACAGTGACACTGTACTGGGTATAATTTCACACCTTTGTGAAAGACAAAGGATTTGGATTTACGCAACATTTTGACAGTTTTAAAATATAAAATCATAAACCGGGTGGATTATAATTTTTGACCCCCCCCCCCCCGCTCCAAAGATTCCCCTACTGCCGTCTGCATGAACTTCACGGTTTTTTTTTTTTTAACATAAGGTAGTATGTTTCAAAAACATTAATTTTACATTTAAATTCACAAAAAAGACTGATCTTAATAAATTTAAATGACTTTCCCTGTATATGCATGGTCTTCTACAAATACAAAAAATTGGAATGTTCACACCGAGGGCTGTTCTATTTGTACTGTGTACATGTTACTACAAAATTACGACAAGCTAATATATTTCATTGCGTAGTTAATCCCATACGTTGACAGGGGGTAACGGGTTCGTTCGCCCGATCTTCCTGTTCGCGGGAGTCCGTTCGCGCAGGGTCCGTTCGCCCAAAAATTTCTTCGCCCAAAATCTTGTTCGCCCTATATAAATTTCGCCCAATACTTATATATTATATTTTATATACTTATACTTATATATATTAGCTTATTTGAAATAAAGATTAACAATTATTTTTATTTCCTTTACGAACTTGGGTATATATTTTTTCTCAAAGCAGGAACAATGTTTATTTAGTCTTAATTATTTTTTTTATTCTAATGCATTTATTAATGACTTAGTGTTTGCACTACAGTTAATTAGATGATTACTATCAATGTTAATTGGGGGGATACACCCGTGTTGTTTTTACGAATTGGGCTATGTTTTGACAACAATTAAGGGACTGAGACGTTAATAGATCCCTTATAGAACTAAGCTCTCACTATAGTGCAAACACTAAATCATTAATAAATGCATTAGAATCCAATGAAAAATTAATGTACCAAAAATGTAAAGAGAAATTCATTATATAATATTCTACATAAAATCTTGGCGAACGGACCCTGTGCGAACGAGAAATCGGGCGAACGGACTCCGGGCGAACAAAAAATCGGGCAAACGGGATATCGGGCGAACAATTTTTAGGGCGAACGAACATGGAACCTTGACAGGTTAGGCTATAGAGGTGTACATGTAAATGATAGAAATAATATTAATTCTTTTACATATACATGTATAGCAAAAGGACGATATATCAATTTATTATGCAAGGCCGTATGAACAACAAAGCACCCCGTTTCATCTTTATACTATTATTATGCGGAAAGAAAATTTTAAGCTTTCTCTTATTTTATTTGCATATTGAGAGTTAATTAATTAAGTAACACTCGAAACTGCATAAAATATTTCTACTACTCAATGTTTTCAGTTAACACGCTTTTCTCATGAACATTGTTCGTACTGTCAAGAAATTACTTGTATGCTTTCAAGTCGAAATGCGTTGCCGTTTTTTAAAATGAATTTTGCCGATTTAAAAAAAAAAATAATAATACGAGAGAGAGAGAGAGAGAGAGAGAGAGAGATTTACTGCACACTGCCTATAAACATGTTTCAGAATATCTAGCTCTTCCATCCATCGAATATTTATCGAAACATGCATGCGTTTCATTGTAAAAGTGATACACGGTATATAGTCATTAACTGATTAATTAAGAGAAATAAAGTTTATGCTTATGCTGAAGATATAATTTATTTTTTAAAAACATGTTTTAAAAACTAACATTTATCAAACATCAGAATAACTTGAAAAAACAATCATACGCTATTTGTTTTTTGTTTTGTTTTTTTTTGGGGGGGGGGTTGTTTGTTTGTTTTTTTTTTTTGTTTTTTTTTTAATTCTTCGGGTAGTAGTTACATTGTAAAATATTTCTAATAGCACCGTTTTTTTTAAACTCAAAACCTGCAATTTTACCGATCGACCGAACAATATTCTGTTATAGATGTTATACGGCCGTACAGGTAAGATCAACCCGATGTGCCAGTCAACGGTAAGTCACACCGCCGCGGTCCATACCTGGCCACAGGTAGGACCGCGATGAAATAACCGCGGGGGTGTATCGCGGAAAGGATCAAAACACCGCGGGGGGAGCGCGGTTTAATGCCTAATCCACGTTGACCGTACTGTAAATACATGAATTGTCTATATTTAATTCCATAGATAGGTCAAAGGCACTTAGAAGTCCCAACTATATTTATGTATGAGAGTATTCATTTTCTACATCCTTGGATATCTCAAAATACTTTCTTGGTTCCATTGAGTTTTAGAAAATGAAGTATGACTCTATATAGAATTTTTGTTATGTATGCTTCTAAGTTCTTTGAAAATATAAAAAAAAAAAAACTTAGGTAAAAATGTTGACTTACATTTATTTTTCAATAATATGAGAAGAAAAATTCAAACATTACTGTTGATGTATTATTTTTACAGGCGCGTTTGCCAATGTCAATAACCTTGTCAGTGCTGTGACAGGTCGCTGTGACAGCGGGAAGTCTAGTGAACCGGATATGACCCCTCTACTGGAGGAACACAAAGCTCAGGTAAAGAACTGATAGAAGAAAAGTGACCTTGACACAATCGTAAAAAGGTGACCTTGACATGATTGTGGAAAAATGACCTTGACATGACTCCTCTTCTTGAGGAACACAAAACTCAGGAAAATAACTGATAGAAGAAAAGTTACCTTGACAAGATTGTGGAAAAATGACCTTGACATAACATGATTGTTAAAAGAAGGCCTCGACTTGACCCCTTTACTTAAGGAACACAAAGCTAGGGTAAGAAATTGATTGTAGAAAGGCAAAATGGACATGACTAGACCCTCTACTAGAAAGCTCAGGGTAATTAATTGATTGTGAAAAGTCGACCTTGACATGACCCATCTACTAAATAATGTAGGAACTTCAAACTCAGAGTGATCATACAAAGGTGATGTTGACATGACCCCTCTATTAGTAGACAAATGTAAAATTAGGATGAGTAAAAAAAAGATTGTACAAGGGCAACCTTGACATGTTCCTTTTACACAAACCTGAGGTAAGTTGCTGATTTTGGAATAACAAGCAAGTGTGGGAGAGAAAGATGTGTGTCCAACAGCTGTTCAAATGACTCCTCATATAATAAAAGAAAAAAAGATCTAGAATTTTGCAAACAATCATACTTATACAACGAAATAAACAATTCCCTTTTTTTTTCAGCCAAAAAGACAATCGAGTTCCAGTGTGCCAAAGTCTACGTCCTCCATGACGATTCCTGTCTCAACCCCTTCCCCGTTATCAGATGACCTCCGTCACTCTGGGGAGAATGGGACCCTCATTCCACGACCGTCTTTCAGTCACTATGAGCAATCCCAGCACTCCCAGGAAATGGAGAGAAGAATGGAAGATCTGGCTAGGTAAGAATGGCAGGAATTTACAAAATGGTGGGCAAAAAAGATCCGCTACTTCACCATGCTTGAAATTAAATGCTCATGAACAAGTGCTTTTTCTCCAATTCCTAAGAATTTGGCCTCACGAATATCTTTCTTTTTTAACAGTAAAGGAAAGAGATTTAAAATTTTTCTCAAGAACTGCAAAGTCTTGATTTGTCATATTACTTACATTGAAGCATCGACAGAGAGTGTGGATTATACTTAAACCATGTATTAAAATCATGACACCTGGGAAAAGGGTATGGCAACAATGGGTAATCAAAATTTAAATAGGAATATTATAAAGAACAAGAAAGTTCAAAGTTTCCAAGGTGAACATCGTGGCCCATGGGCATCTTTTTATGATATTATTCTTCCGTAAAAATATCTTCGATAAACGTTTATTAAGTGATTTCGATCTCCTTTAATTCACAGACAACTGACGAGGTTGGAGAACAAAATGAACTCGGACATGGCCATGATTCTCCACATCCTACAGTCCCAGAATGGGGAGCGTGGTTACCATGGTGATGGCACCACCACCCCTCTGTCTGACAACCCGCCCCCTAACTACAGCCACGTGAACAGTCCCTCTGAATCAGAGGAAACGTTTACACACGGGGCCATGTTCCAAAGACAAGAAAGAGTGATACATGTAGTATTTTTTATTCTACAGCTGTTTCATAAATGAAAAAAAGTTTGAAAGTTTTTGAAAAACATTTTTTTTACCGTATAAGCAGAATTTTTAGCGAGATTAAATTTTGGCATTATTGGCGATGGTTTTGAGATCGCTAAATTTGAATATCGCTAAAAATTAATCGTGCTTTATTTGTAATAGCTTCTTAAGTGAGCATTTTAAAATCGCTAAAATTACTTATCGCTAAAAATAGAATATGCAATCCAAAACACTGTTAAATCTGACTTTAGATTTCTTTCCAATTTAACTATTCTCCATGTATTTTACACTGTGCCATCTGACACCCTGTTTATTCTGACAAAACTCATCTCTCAGTACATGTCTGATTAGTTCAGGTTTCACTGTATTATTTATTGTGACTTAAACTCTAAATAAAAAAAAATTTAATGGCATTTTAATAATTTAAAACATTGTTTTGGTCAATACAGACAGAGGAGGAGTCTCCATGGGAACGACGATTAGAGGACGTGTACGTGTCCCCAGTGTCTGGTCACGAGGCTTCCATAGCAACATCTACAGAAACACCTGAATCAACCAATCAGAAAACAGGACACAAACAAAATCTTCCCACAGCTGAAAAATACCAAAATGTCTACCCTCCTATGGAAGGGAGAGCACCACTAGTGGAGGAAGAGATTTCTCTCCTAGGACCAGAGTTATCTGCCCCTGTAGTGGAGGAAGAGTTATCCTCCCTGGCACAGGAGAGGGCAGAACGAGACAGACTGGGGATAGTTCTTAGTGACAGCTGTGAAGGTGACATGGCAGGGTCAGTAGTTAAAGGGTCAGAGGACAAAAATGTAGACCCTGGAAAGACTAAGGGGGGTGACATGCGAGAGGGGGAATCCGTTAGCAGAAGGACGGACACATCTGGTGGGGATTACCTGTATTCTGACTTCTCGCCACAAACCAGAAGGAGGCTAGGAATTCCCTTAGACATAGACCCCAAGCAGACATTTGTATAAATATAACTATGAATTTTTCCTAACATTTAGTGGCCAAAAGAAACAAACCAAGTACTTATTGTCCGTTGTTTGGATAAATGTCTCCAGAAAAGTGAGGTGCAGTGCAGAAGGATGAGAATGAGTGAATCTGATGGGAAATTTTACTTTGTAAAAGTGTTGCCCAGTTCAAGGCTGTGATTGAGATGTTACTATTTGGGTGCAAATCTTGTGATAATCATATGTTTGAGAATGAAAATGTGTGTAGAAGTTTGTGTGCAGTTGTACAAAACACAGGAATCAATTTTTGAGCCAGGATAAAAGATAGGATGTGGTTTTTGTAAACACTAAGTGTGGTCATTTTTATGAAATTGACTTCTGTGTTGTTAAGTTCACTAAACTTCAGAGAGCCTTTAAGGAAAATCTGACTTTTGACCTCTAAGTAAGACCTGACCTTTACTGTACGTAAAGCAAGGATACTCCTTATTTATATGTCCTAATATCTGGTCTAAACTTTAAAAAAAAAAACCAACAGGGCCACAGATACATGTAATTGAGTACCCCAAATATAAATCATACTTCTCCAGTTAATTGAGTGCCCCAATGTAAAGCTGAACTGTCAATACCCGATTGTAAAGCTGATACAATTTTTTTTCCAATGAGGATTCACAGATTTCCTAGGCCTGGTTCAGTTAGCTGGAAGTGCAAAACAGCCTAAAATACCACATTCAGGAATGTTAAGAAATGAAAATATAACTTAACTGTGTACGGGAGAAAATAGAATTGAAAAAAAAAAAAAATGAAAGAATGAATGTTTAGATTTTATATTTACGTTTTAGATGAAAATATAAAAACACTGTGTGCTATGAAGCATTGATATTGAATGAATGTGTGGATTTTACTTCCTTTTATAATGTATGTTAATGTTGACACTGATCTTTAGACTGTGATGATTATTATTGCAATCATTCTACATGTAGATGTACAGTTAACTTTTTGATTTGAAAATGTTTGCAAAACCATTATGATTTCAGAGTAGTGCTGCAAGTTTAGAGAGAATATGTGAAAATTTTGATGTTCCTAAATACAGAACCCCCAAGTCATTCCCCTAATGATAATTTGTATATGATGTACTTAATATGTAACCTATATATATCTAGTAATCAGTTAGAAATATACTAAAAAGTGTTAAAATTCAATCTTGTTTTTTCTTTATAGATATTGTTCATCATTTATCATTACGAACGACATCTCGATATTTATCTTGAAACAATAATTTTTATGTAAAGGCAATGGGTGAAATTTGGAGACATACTGCATAATTTTGAGTACTAATTAAAATTCTTCCTCATATTGGATATTTTGTGATGTACAAGTTTTGGGGGAATAAAATATATAATATTCTAACCTGGGGCACCTAGGCTTTTCAGAATGACTGTCTAAGGCCAATTAAACCTGGAAGGCTCATCATATTCCCCACTACTTTACTTAAACATAGGTAATAATAAAAGATTTCAGAGCTCACCGCCTCAACGAATGTTATCTTTAAGTAAGGCAAAGTACCATATAAAACTCTTAATCTAGTAGTGTTATCCCAAGATGTACATCTAAGCAATTTTGATCTGATAGGACTTGCAGTAGTGTTACTTGGGGATGAATTTACAAACCATTTCATATCCAGCATCTTAAGCAAGTTAAAGAGTGTTTATGCTTTGATGCAGCATCCTTGCAAGTATGGTTCAGATAGCCCTTACAGCTTCATGGCAAAAACTTGAACCTGATCACTCATTTGGAAAATGTAGATCGAATCCAGCACGCCTGTTAGTGTGCTTCCTTAGATGTATCATTCATGCTAGTTTGGTCAAGGTATTAATAGAAGTTACTTAGGTTAGAATAAATTTGCTCCAAGACCTTTAACCTGCATGGTCAGTCGTTTGGAAAATGTAGATTGCCACCCACACCACATTGGCACAAGGGTCCACACTTTACACAATTTTGGAAAAGACGCCATTACTCATCATATATGTTTAATTAATGTCTTGGAGCAGATTTCAAAAAAAATAATTTATTTGCAGTATATAATTATAGTCCCCTTCCATCTATGGTATCACTGATCCAGGGGCCTTGAAATTCACAATTTTGGAAGATAACTATGTATGTAGTTGTTTTATACCCAGGAGCAGGAAAGATTTTCAAAGAATTGATGCATCTTCAGTATATGTAATCAATAGAGCCCCGCCCGAATACCTGAACCCCTGACCCTGGGGCCATAAAATTCACAATTTAAGAAGAGGCACCCTTCCGCCTTATAACTATGTGTCTACATGTAGTTAGTTTAATACCCAGGAGCAGGTCACAGGGGGCAGGGACCATGAAATTCACAATTTTTGTTCTTCTTCACCAATAGGTGCTTTAAGCCCAAACTGGTTGAAATTGGTTGTGTGGTTGCATAGAAGAAGATTTTCAAAGTATGAATGCATTTTCACTATAATGCAACCTATATTATAGCCCCGCCCTAGCACTAAAACCCGTGACCCTGGCGCCAAGAATTCACAATTTATGAGCTTTAACACATATAATATTTGTAAAATGATGTTTAAAAATACATTTAATCTTTACTTCGTTCGTGATTATTATTGAAAGAAATCAAAGAGCAATAGCGCATTTGATAGTCACTTTCGCCTACTCTAGTAGTATTTTTTAAAATACATTGTTTATCCAGAATTTTGTCATACGATGTTAGTTTATACATGCCTTAAAGCAAATCACATAAAAATAATATTCAAATATTAATAGTTCCCTCATATGATAGCTATAAAAATCGTTCAGTTTATATGGAGAATATAGTAAATACTGAGGTATCCCCCTAAACAATGACAAACTGTAGGAAAAGACCACTCTTAACCAGAAAAACAACTTCTGCATAATTTTATTTGGATATGGCTGTACATCATTACATTTAGATACTTTTGGTTAAAGGTGGTCTTCATATTGAAAATGTTGAAAATATGTACGAGGGGTTATCAAAAAGTTCGTGGACTAACGTCATAAAATTAAAACCGCTTTAGATACATCAATGAAATTTAGAATATCTAGTTAGCATCATCTTTTCTATCAAAAGAATAAACCACAAATCATAAATTTTATTTTTTGATAAATTAGTAACGTTTTCGTAAGCAATAGTATGCCCAGGCGGCGCAACCTCGAATACGACGTTTTTGCGACCTATGTGTAACTGAGAAAAACTCTTTTGATATGATCATTTGACATCCATAAATTCCGTTAATTCAGGTATGTGTCGGGACACAATTGTAACACAAAATATGGAATTTTCACTTCATTCTGGTAGTTCTATGAATTTTTATCATAAGTTTTACACCGAATGTCCAAACAAATGAGGCCTTGAAAATGACGTCAAAAGGGTGGAGGGGTGACTGTTTCTAACAGTCTATAACGTTTTGCCCATGAAAAATTTGGTATAGACCTAAAATTTGTTAAAACTGGCTACAGAGAAATAATATGCATCCGGAGTACTTGTATTTTAATGTCAAAATAGATTTAGAGCGAAAATAGATGCACAGTTAATGTCGACTTGCAGTCGAGGTGTGAAAATCAATCACGTCAAAAAATGACGTTGATCATGAGTTGTAGATATTGAACTCCCAAAAGCAAAATATGCTGGCAAAATCTAGCAAAGATCTCTCCCAGTGTAATAATCCATATGAAATATTATATTCATTGAAGGCCACTGTTCATGACATTGTAAAGTCATATAAACAAGGCGGGTTTAATTAAGTCTGTACTCAGCTCCAGGGAATGTCATAAAAAATGTATTGAGATAAAAGAAGCGGACATTGAAAAAACAATGCGTTATCGGACGTCATGAGAATAAACGACGACAGCGCCGGGTGATCATATGATGTCGTTTTCATTTTATAATAATTTGGCAAATAATGAACGTATCAGACTAAAATTTTCAACATTTCTTTATTTTTTGTTGTTTTATGTTTCATATAAATTTTGTAAGCAAAGACTACATAGTACTAATTTTATAGCCTCAGTCCACGAACTTTTTGATAACCCCTCGTATTTAATTTTCTTCTGAAATTATTTAAGATTCAACAATTTGTCTTAAATGTATCCATTTAATTCATATGACTTCGTGGCGTAGTGGTATGATTGCTGGATTGAAGACATTGTGATCGTGAGTTCGAGTCTCACAGTGCGTGTTTCTTGTCAATGATTTCCTTTTTTTTTCTCTGTGTGCATTTTTCCCATGTTTTATTTTAATATTTTAAAATATATGTATAAATAATGTAAGAGATATATAATACAACATTACAAATTGAAAATTTCTCGAGAAAAATCGGTCTTAAACTATTTCAATGACCCAAAGTCATGAAAGCTGCTGGCTAATGTTTTATTTTTTTTTTTTAAATTCTAACAATCTTGTTTAGAATAAGAGTATTGAACAAGTAAAATTATTGTCATGTAACAATCTTGCAACTATAAAATATAACAGTGGTCCACAAATGATTGTTTGATTTTGAATGGAAAAGGTACATGTATCTATAAATAGAAACAGGTGATTTCCTTTTAAATACTTGAGTAGGCCGAATCCTCGGTAAGGCAGCTATGGCTCTTTTTGACAAAAATGAAAAATTAAAAAATTATTCCGAATTTCCTCTGCATTACCATACATTGACTTTTTTACCTGTATATTTTCTTTAAATAATAAAATATTAAATTTTTAAATTGATTTCGATTTAAAACTTGCTTATTTTATCCATTTAGAACAAGTTTTGATTTAACATATTATATTTTATAAAATTTCCTTTCTGTTATCTGAAACCTGAGTAAAAGTCATCCTTATAATGTCCAGGGAACAGGTAATGCCCTTGACCTGACCTTGCCTGTAATACAAAACGGTCAAAACTAATCAAACCGATACCATCACTTATACACTGTCGTGATATTGCCTTCTTTAGAACATAACCTACTTATTCAGCCAATCAAATGCTTCCATTTCTCGCGAAGAATTGATTCTTCATAATGAAGAATTCTTCTATTTCTGAAAAATTCAACGGTGTCTGATTGGTTCACTTGACAGTTATATGGGTGTGTCTTCATTGGTCTTTGTTCAGCACACAAAAAGAAACTATTCAGAATAGTCTGGTCTGATTTATAGAGAAAAATACTTCTAACGGCAAATAATTATTATTAGTTTAACTCAGAAAATTTAGTCCGTTTCTACACTTAATTCGAATTTTCTCTGATTTATTTGTGTATTGTTCTATATTGTGCTTTGTTCAAGATTTTACATTTGCAAATATCCATACACTGCAGATATGTATTTTTTCCTCTACATCTCACTATTCTACAATTGAATGGTAGTGCAGTTGTAAGCTAAAAGTCAAAATGGCGATTCAACATGGTGGATATTCATTTTTTCCAAATTATTTCTTGATGTCGTTCATTCGTGAATATCTTATTGAGCGTAGTACAACTATGTAACATGACAATAGAACATTAATATTATCACTTTAAATCGCAAAATTGAGTCGTTTAAATTTGAAATGTGTTAATTAGCTCAAAATGGCAATTTCAAAATGACGTCATATACACTCGAATTTCGTAATATACCCAAACTGTTTCATTCTGAGTCGTTATGCAGATAATAAATTACTGTTTGTTTTTTATATATAGTATATATAGCATATTGATTAGTCCATTAAATATGAAAAAACAAAAAATACTAAAAAAGTTTCATTTTTTTATGGAAATAGTTAAAACAAACTCGACTAAAGACTTTCGATATTTCCCCCTCGTATTATATTTGACCGTGTTCCAAAGCCTTTGAACCCCCGTTCACCTAAAATCACCCCCGAATCGCTGTCATTATCAATTCGCACTTCTACTTCAACATCCCTCAGCACACCATCAAATATAACTGAAGAAATTCTTGTCCGATTTCATCGAACACTTTGTTCTAGTTTATAAAATTAGCACTTATAAGAGCTTAGTATTATCCCTAGCATCTTCTATTCGAGCTTTATTTGCTATATGTTTTAGTCTGTCTTCGAAATTTTGGTATTTTCAACATTCAAGTAAAATTGTGCCCCTTGTCACATTTATGTTCAAATGTTAAAAGTACTAGTATATATTTTGTTTTCCAAAATCTTATGCAAAATG